AAGTACTGTTGGATTTTCTACTCTTATGTTGGGATCATTTCCTGTTGCCATCATTACAACAGATATGTGAGAGCTGGCTTACACAAACAACTGTAAGATCAGAGAACGGGAAGTCCTCCTTCAAGAAAATATCCCCTCTTACCCCCTGCGTATATTATTTTATTACTAGCTTAAGATACGCCTCACATGACCATGAGCCGTTTATAGCCTTGTGCTTTTTTGAGATATATTTACCTATGACTCAGCTTTGGCATCTAAAAAGAAAAAAAGGTCAACCTTTATCTTGTTACTGATGTTTTAGCCTTTCCAAGGACAAATTGTGTCCTCCTCTGTCATAGTGCCTTATACATAATAGACAGTGAGCAAATGTTTTTGCTATTGGAAGGAAGCACGGTGATTAAGACCTTGATTAAGACTGAAACAGTTAGATTTCTATCCCAACCCCACCCTCCTTCTTTAAGAGCTTTGTAATTGTAGAAACACTTAATTTCTTTGGCTGTACAATGATGATCATGGTGGTACCTCCCTCACTAAATGTTAATGAGTGATAGTACCGTGCCTGACATACAGTAGGCACTCCCTAAATATTTTAAAAATAACAACATTAATAAAAATATAAATGGCACTAGTTTTCAGATTTGCTGGTTTCTGTTGATACGGTATAACACAGTGATACAGATTGGAAACCTGGCACGTCCATAGGTTTAAATCAGACTGCAACTAGAATAATTTTAAATGTAAGAGAAAAAATAGAGCAAGGAAAGGTAAATTGGCATTTGGGGGGTAACTCTGTATACATCATGCTAGTACCCTGAAACACAGAGCACTGACTGCTGTCAGCTCTATGCTCAGAGAACCCATTGCGTCTCCCCCCTGTTACCTGAGTGTTGCCATTCATTCAGGCATTCTCCATATCTATAATTTAGCACATGCTTCCTGCTCAGTGATGGGGTTTCTGCCCCTGTAAAATTCCATTGTCTAGATGTCAGGTTATGCCACAGTTTATTCCACATTATCACCTTGATCTGGCCGGAAGAGTCTCTGGAGATTTTTCCACTCTAGCCATTCCGCCAGGTAGAATTGAATGATCAATCCAGGCCTGCGATTCTTGCTCATAAGGGTGAAAGATTTTATGGAACTGGTTGTTCAGTTGCACCCTGGTGCCCGCAGTCTCCCCGTGGCTTTTGTGGTTGACCTTCATGCAGTTTGTTCCTGTTGTTGGGGAGACTCACAACACCTCATAACACCCTTCGTGATGGAGGGACATTCATTTGCACAAAGTTGACTCAGCTGTCTGGGTCCTGGTTGGAATAGGCTTACAGAGCCTTCTTGAAAACCCAGAGTGTTCCAATCCCAAACATATTTGGAAAATACTGAGTTAAGGGTGTTTTGGTCTTTAAATACCATTTCCTCTAAAAGGAACCAGGGGTCACTCAAGAAATAGCCAGTATTAGGGCTGGAGCAGGGAAGATACAAGAGGAGCCTGTAACTTCTGTGCCAGCTAATAAGGAGGTGCTAAAAATGAAAAATGATGGGGATGTGGCAGAGTGATGAAGGAATCTGTTTGAAGGGTCTCCTACCGGGCAAATCTGAGATGGTTTGGGCATAAAGATAAATACTGGTAGTAACAGATTATAACCCACTGAATAAAATAAAGGCAAAAATAAGTGAGTCTTACTGCTATAAATCAACCGATGAATGAATACATAAAACTGGAGAAGAGAAAGCTGTTCCTTACACTATAATGCTGCTAATGCATATAGAAGAATTGGTGGATTTAGAAAGTCGTCAGTGGATATTAAAACTAGTAGATGGAAGTTAGATGAGAAACGGGACATTCATGTAATCTCAAAACATCTCCTTACAGAGTACTTTTTAATTACAAAAGGAACATTAATACCTGTAAAGGAGAGAAGCCTTGCCAACATCACCTTAACCATGTGATCAAGTTAAACACCCCTAATATTAGAATAAGCCCACTTGACATGTTCCCTGATACGGTGCACTGTGAAGACAAGGTATTACAACTGTGGTCTCCTGCCCAAAACGTACTGCCTGAATCTGATCATGAGAAACCATGAGGCTGACCCCAGTTCTACAAAGTAGCTGGCCTGCACACTTCAAACTACCAAATAAAGACAAAGAAAAGGCTGAGTAGCTGTCCAGGATGAAAGTTGGGGGTAGGAGGGGTCAGTATAAAGAGATATGGTGACTAAAGGCAAAGTTTGATCCTAGACTGGATTCCTGGACCAAGAACCAAAATAACCATCTGTACTGGACTTGATTTGGGCACTTGCCAAAACCTGAAAATGGACTGGGAGTGAGATTAATACTATTGTATCAAGGTGAAATGTGCTCATGTTAATAACTTTGCTGTAGTTATATAAGAAAATGTTCTTATTCTTAGAAATTATACACCTAAATATGTATTAGTAAAGGGGCATATTTTTCTCCCACCTACTATCAAATGATTCAGGGAAAATAATGGTGAGGAGAGTGGGGAGAGAGAGCGAGGAGAATGTAAATGGGTAGAATGAAATAATTGGTGGTACTGGATAAAGGCTGTACAGAACAGCAATAGATGTTTCTTCAGGAGAGGAGTTGCTGTATAGTAAGCGACGCTTAGACTCACATGGTGAGAAAGGACACACTTTGGGGAATGCTGACGGAAGGCTCCGAGCACGGCTCTTGGGAGCAGATGCAGAGAGTTGACGGGCTACTCAAGATACTAAGTGGCCACCCCGCCCCCTTCCAGAGATGTTTCTGGCAAGTAGATCTCCAGCCTGTGCCTAAATTTGTCTCATCACCAATAACAACAGAATAATTTAAAGTCCAATTCACTCAGCAAAACTCCATCTCCTTACTCATGCTTATATTTAAGATAGCTTTCAAAGTTAACGTAATTCAGTAGGCTACAACCCGAGAGAAATAGCAAGGGAAATTGATATTTCAGACCTATGCTGCTGTTCTCCGTACGAGACATTTTATTACCCTGATGGGTGGAGCCAGGACTCAAAGACACTTTCTAAAAATGAATTTCCTCACCCAGTTGTAAATGAAAATGCCCTTGAAGAGGTCTTAAAGTATTTTGTATCACACACTATTCAGGTGATGCATTAAACAATGCCGCCCCTGTTCATGGGCCGAAGAATAAGAAAACCTTCTGTGAACTTACTTCATTTGAGGGCCTGGGTTTTAAAAGGAAAGTGACATGTAATTTTCTGAATATACTTGTGCAGAGTTTCTTTCTTGGTTGAGAAGCATTGTACCCGAAGCAATTCGCCCAGTATTAAACTGTTTTAATCTGCACCTCATTGAAAGGATTTTTCTCAGAGTAAATTCATGATGTCTATCGCTGTCCAGACATAAAGGCAACACATTTGTAAGAAGCTGCCGGCATCCGTGGGAATTCACAGTCTAAGTTAAATAAGTCGCCATAAGACAAGAATATTCTCCAAAAGAATCCCCCTGTCCTTCTCCTGTCCACTTGGGTATCTGACTTTTCCTAGAAAGTGTCCTGGCTTGGGCTCCCTGACTCCACCCTTCGGAGAAGAAATGTCACCTTGTTCTTAGCATCTTACTTCATTCAGTCAGCAGGACTCTTGTTTACCTTTGACCTGTACTTCAGCTCATCTCTCTGACTTCCCTTTCCTTGCTTGGAATTTATGATTGAACAGCAAGTCTCCAAACCCCATCGAGGGTGTGGTTGTTCAGAACATAGCATCATGTCATTTGGACCAGTGGGAAAGTAGAGGTCTTGGAAGAGAGCTAATGATAGAGGAGATGTGATTTTCTGTAAAGAGAAGGGGTCATTCTAGAAGGTTCAATGGAATCATATTCTTACTAGAAATCTTAAGATGTCTGCCAAATGTTAGCTTGTTGATGATGGCGATTTGTTTAGCCCCGATCAGGTCCAGGCAGTAGGCTACCCACCCTACACTGCACTGACATATTTGATCCCCACACCCATCCCACCAAGGAGACATGCTTGATTCTATACATCGAGAACTGATGCTTAGAAATTAGCTTCCTTGCCTGAGGTCTCACAGGCAAGTGAACGAGGAAGCTTGACTAGGAGCCCAGATGTTTTATTTTTCTCACATATGTAGTCTCTCAGGAGTACTCTGAGGTCTGTTTTTGTTCTCTGAATTGTATTAAATATCAAGGAATGTTCAGGCATCAAAATTGTATCATGACTTTAAGTTGATTTATCTGTGTTCTGCTATTTGAATAAGAAACCCTTGCCAAATGTAAGAGAAGGTTTTTAAGGTTTGGATGAGAGCACCTGGATTTTACACTCTTCCACTGATTTTAACAAAGTCAGCATTTAATTTTCTGAAGCACTATTAACTGAGCGTCATCATTTCTGCCTAGTCTTCACAGGGGTGGTTAGATGGATTAAGTGAAATCATGAATGAGATGGCCTTTTGCAAACTGTAAAATATAAAGCATTATTATTATAATTACCATTATATTTCTTTGTGGATTGACTAAAATAGTCTATTTGGGCTATTTCATAAAACTCCTGAAACCCTCTCAAATTCTCATCGTCAGAATGGGCATTGTCTGTAAAGATGTGCCCATTTTAAGCATTTATAATTTCAACACGTGGATTGAATGTCACAGGCTTTGTTTTCTACTTGAAGGTATTTAACTCCACTAAACGTTTGCTTCTTAATAGGGACCGTTCACCATGACATAAGTATTAGGTAATAAGAAGGTGTTGGTGTTATTTGTTTTGTGTGGCCTGAAGGCATTGTAGTTAAGTGAAAAGATGTGTGTTTTAGTGGTACCTACTGAAGGTGTGTAGGGGTAAAATGATGTGATGTCTGAGGTTTGCTCTCAGATACTTGAGCAAAGAAAAAAATACGGATGGATGAATACATTTGACAAAATTTTAGTATGCTGGGGAATCGGGGTTGGCTGTACTGTTCTGTCCACTTGTGTGTAGGTTTTCCTAATGTCTTCTCCTCATACACTTTTTAATTGTCCTTTTACAGATGCAGATTTTCTTTTACAATCCAGATGACTTTGACAGCTTTCAAACCGCAATTTCTGAAAACAGAATAATCGGAGCCATGGCCATATTTTTTCAGGTAAGTTAGCAGTGGTTCAAGTTCTTCAACCAAATAGTTCTCTGAGTATTTTTTTTTTAATTCACCGAATTGTTCCATGTTTAATGAATGCATCTGTTTTCTAGTTCACACCTGTCTAAATGAAAGATATTTCATATTGTCTAATGTGTGATTTAAAATGTAAATAAGTATGTTTAGAAACATAATGAAAATTTTTGCATGAATTATTCTGATTTTATTGCTACTTGACTGGTGCACAGATTGAAGAACACATTTATCATCTAAGTTACTTCACTGCTGAAGCGTTTTGAACAGGTTTGTTCAGCATATTAAGAGGCTGATGTAAAAAAAATAAAAGGTGGTTTTCTTTGGAGCAACTTTAAAATCTGATCTTATTTGCAAGTAGATTACTAAATAGCATTAGTCACTTCTCTAAAGAGATCTCGTTTGTTTTCTCCCCCCAGATAATCCCCATGGTAACTAAAATTTTTATTGAGACCATTTCCAAGTTAGTATATTTATGATCTCCCAGCCTTTCTTTGTCGTCTTTATTGTGTTTGTACTAATGAGTATTCCTGGCTCACGTGTTGGTTCCTTACCTAGAAGCCGAAGCTTGCATCCTTGTGTGGATAATGCTGTCCAGGCTCTTTAGTAAGTCAAATCAAATGAAAGTAGTGTTGCTCGTGAAGTGTCTTCAGCAAATACCCAAGAGGAGGCCAGGTGCTTTATCTGTGTGGGAAGGTGCCTTGGGTGGTAGGTGTATGAATTGTCTTTCAGTCTTAAAATTTGCATAAAGACTACATACAGGTGTTCCTTTTACCAGTGAGTCATTGGGATATGGTCTTTCTGACAACTCCAAGGAACTGTTAAAGACTTCAGAACCTTCCTCAACAGGGGTCTTCTGGGTCAGGCTTCTTTGTCATGGAGATGAAGCCATTCTTGTTTGGAGCATGTTAATTTCACTACCCCTTTTTAGTGACTGACACTCTCCACTGCTTCTCTCTCCCTCTTAACTGCCTCTCTCCCTTTTCTTTCTTGGATAAAGGCTCCAGTGAGAAATTATATATGAAATGTTAAGAAGCCTCATCTCCTATCCAAACTTCAGAAACAGTAAAGAGTGGTGGTCATCAGCATTGGTTATGCCACTGGTTGCAGACTGGTTTCTGACCTCCTAGTGAGCCATGAAGTCATTTCAGTGAGTTCTGACCTGCATTTTTTAAATAAAGAAATACTACAATATAGAACAGAAAATAATCAGAAAATACCCACGTGTCCCACACATACTAAGGGTAAATATCTTCGTAGAACTTGGTTTTTTTAGTTGTTTATACACAGACATGCATACTAGGTGTACATTGGTTCATGATATGAAATGTGGGTCTTATTGTGGGTCATGATCAGATACTTTGGAAGTCATCTGTTTGTGCTCCACATTATGCTGGCCTCCCCATCGTCCCCATTGTTTGCCCACACATCTCTTCCTCTGTTTATTTGCATGAATCACAGTAGAGCATGGTGTTCTGAGAGCTTATTCAGTGGAGTCAGAAATACTTGCTTTGAATCCCTTTTCTTCTTCACAGCTGCATAATGGCGATGCAGTTGTCTAAACTTTTCAACCATAGCATCGTTATCTGTGAAATGGGGATAGCAGCTTCTACATCATCAAGACTGTAGTCATTAAATGAAGTCCCAGTGTGGGTTTTGGCACAGAGTAACATTTAGTAAATGCTAGATAAAACATGTATTCATATCCATCCATCTCTGTTTCTTTGGGATGAAGTCCCTGTGGTGTATATGTCTTCACTGTATGAACAGAAGTCTGTTCAACAGGCACCACCCTGTTGGAAGTTCACTTGGGTTCTGTTTGGACCCCTTTTGCCTCTGGGGTCACTTGAACTTGCATTCTTAAACAATTTCCACTTACACAGTTAACCTTTGTTCTCTTGACAAGCTGCTGCTCTTGTTGCTGGACCTGTACGCCTGTAGCCCTGCCATCACTCCTGCCTCTGTCTCCTCCTCTGTTGGGGCAACCCATGCTCTGTCCCACCAGGTTCTATTTTATAGGTCACCCTTTTTCTAGGAAAACAAACACTGAGAATGTTCTTATGAGTGCCAGAAAGTCTAGCTCACAGCACGTTCTATGTAAAAGTTTTCTATTTTTCCAGCCCTATAAACTCATTGTTAAGTAGAAGACCAATTAAAATCTTGGACAGGCAAGGAACATTGGTATACAAATCAGCAAAAAGACCTCAATGTGAAATCTAGGTTTTGGATTTTTAAAGTATTTCTAGGACATGAGTAGTACTTCACTTACAAAGAAATTTAATGTATGTTTCTCCTTGTAAGTCCTTCTCCAGATTTTGGCTTGCTGTTCTGTAGACACAAAATAGAGGGCAGATAATATAAAATAGAATAGATGTTTTTCTTTTTAGATAGCAGCTGTGTTGAACTGTTTTCTTTGTTTTCCTTGTAAGATGCATTTATGCATCTGAGTTCACACTGTGTCATGCAGTGGAAAGAAGACAGTATTACTGTTACTTTTATTTGGCAGTCTCTTTATAACCAATATTTTGAGATTTTTGTGTTTTGAATCTTTCTATGAGAATGTTGAACTTGAGAGTTTGGTATTTCTCCCCCAGATAGAGAAATCTTGATGTTTATTTTCAAATTCAAATTGAAATTCAACTTTTGTATTGAAGCAGTATTTATCATTCTTTCATCACTGATTCAGTGCCAGTATGGTACCAATTGCTATATTAAATATTTAATATATTTATATCATTATAAATTTATAATATAAATATAAACATATTTGTATTATTATAATAATATATCATAATATGTGATAAATGTAGTCAGTTCCTGTCTGGTAGAAGGACCTCGCTGTCACTGTCCCGTGTGATAATGGCTAGAAAGAGGTGAAAGGGGAAACTCTTCTACTTGTAAAGAGGCTGTGCTCTGACTTGGTGCTCATAAACTCACATATTCATTATCCAGAGTGACAGGATGGGAATGAGCCATGAGGACACTTCTAGGCAAGGCTACGTTCTGTGTAGATGTTAGAGCCTTGGTGCCATCTTTCTCTGTACACTGGAATAATTTTCTGACGCTTTCAAATCTTTCATTATCTTTGTTTCTTTTTTCTTCCTGATCATGCGCCTATTGCTCTGGGTAGTTTTGGCTCTCTGTCTTTGCTGTGGTAAGTTAGGATGAGGTTCCTATGTTTCCAAAACACTGAAACAAGCACAAACCTAGCAGGCATATGGTTGACCAAGGAAGCGTATGTTGGGCAAGACAAGAGGCTGCCTGCTGCTTGGTGGTCCTGTTGTGTCTCATGGCCATGATTATGATAGCTACATAGTGTTCACAATTTTTTTCTTCAGTTAAATGTGGAAGATTTTACATAAAATTCCTGACAATGTAGTAAAGGTCAAGACTTGAGTAGTGACTGTCTACTTTGGAAAGAGTGTGATTTTCCATGGCAACACAATCTCCAGGAGATTTTCTTTATGACTTCATGTCAACTTAGCCTTGAGATCTCGACCCCAATCTGGACCCCAGTAACTTTAAATAGTGCCTAACATCTGTTGGTTACAGACGAAGTTGAAGGTCATTCTCAATACTGAAATACAGCGAGCCAGCTTTTCTCTGAGTGCTTTGTGTGAACACCAGTAAAGGAGGGATCACCTCTGTGTATGGGAGATGACAGATCATGGCAGCCACACATGGTTGTACGCACTTGGGCGCACATACCTCTAGAAGGTGCATTCGCTTCATAGCCACCACTGAGAGGAATGTTTATTACAGCTTTCCAACATACGTTAGTAACGCATCTGGTGAAAGGAACGCCTTTTTTTTTTTCTAGTTCACACACATTAGTGACTAACAACCCTCTGAAAGATATAGGGGAAAGGAAGGATGAAGTTCGATTTTAAAGGATTTTTTAAATAAATACGTTAAAATAAGAAATAAATATGTTAAAATAATAAAATGGAGATATTTGTTGTTAATCAACTAATGAGAAGAAATAAATGCTTATCTAGTAATTTATATTAGTACAAAAATTAAAATAATTATTTTCTGTTAAACTAGAACCTCCACTGTTCTTTACTAGTTAGTTAGTCCCATGTGAGTTCCTGTCAAAATTACTGGGGATGGGGGAGGGTGTATAGCTCAGTGGTAGAGCATGTGCTTAGCATGCACAGGGTCCTGGGTTCAATCCCCAGTACCTCCTCCCAAAAATACATACATAAACCTAATTACCTCCCTCCCTTGAAAATGTAAAATATGAAAAGTCATTAAATTGCTCCTTTAATATATTCTATCATTCTGATAAGATTATACATGGGTTATGTGTTTATAAAGAAGTAAGAAATATGAAAACCTATGTTTATAGGAAAGTTGAAATGACAATGGAATGATTAGGCAATTTGTAGAAGGATACTTTGCTTTGAAAATAACTCAAAAAAGATTTAATTAGCTCTGATTTAAGATAACAGATCTTCCTCAACTTACGATAAGGTTATGTCCTAATAAACCCCTTGTATGTTTAAAATATCATTAAGACAAAAATGCATTTAATAACGTCCCTTTTTTTTTTAGATACCCCATATGAGTGACATTATATGGCATTTTTCTCTTTCTGGCTGTACTTCAATTACAACTGCTTTTAATAGGCCTAACCCACCGAATGTCATAGCTTAGCCCAGCCTACCTGAAACACGCTCAGAACACTTAGCCTACAGTTGGGCGCAATTACCTAACACAGAGCCTATTATTTTAACAAAAAGCCTACCCCAACACTAACACAGGGTTTTGACTATCCCATGGAATTTATTGAACACTGTACTGAGAGGGAAAACAGAACAGTTGTCTGGGTATGGAATAGTTGTACATGTGTTGGATATTACCCTCGTCTTCCCGTGACTGACTGTGAGCTGCAGCTTGCTGCCCCGTCCAGCATCAGGAGAGAGGGTCTCACCATATCTTTAGCCTCAGAAAAAAATCAAGATTCAGAGTAA